TGTATAATAAACAGCTCTTCGAACACATGTTCAGTATTTACACATTTAATGTCACCTAACAAGATTCTAGCACAACACAACAAAAATAGTAATACTTTCAAATAGTCCTGAGCTAACACCCAAGGAACTGCTGACAATTTGTAATAATCCGTCCACTTGTTCTTGAGATAATTTTATTAGTTCATCATTGTGCTTATGGAATGTTTTACTATTACTGTCAAAATCAATTTAGTAACTCTCACAGAAATTTAAGTGAAAGGAACTTGTACGGTCATTTACTACAAGATTCTCATTTTATTATTTCTTGCCCTGGTCCTCTGATTAAAAGAGAAGTTTTAGTAGCCAGGGATTTAGTTTAGCAGCTCAAGCGCTTACCTGCTAAGTGCAAGATCACAGTACCAAAATAAATAAATAAAAGAGAATTTTTACACAATATTTTCACTTACATTAAGGTTACAGGTTAACATTACAGTGACATTCCTCAAATGCCTGTCTTTAGCACAGTGCTATACTTTGTATATAGTAGATCCTCCAGTGAGTACTTACATACTGTTCTTATTTGAGTAAATGACAATACTTATTATAATTATTTGTGCAACTTTAATTAAAAGCAGTATGATAGCCAGGTGTGGTATGTAATCCTAGCACTTGGGAGGCTGAGGAAGGAGGACCGTTTCAAGTTCCACACCAGCCTAAGCTACAAAGTGAGCTCAAGGCCAGCCTGAACTGCATAGTGAGACTCTTATCAAAAAAAAAAGCAGTAAGATATAATTTTAATTCAAAGTTTATTTTTCTCTTCCATCCTTCCTGCCACTCTAAAGGTCATTTTGTGCCTTAATACTCAATACTTAACACTTTAGTACTTAATACTAAATCCAGTGGTGAGATAGAAGCCAAAGCATGGTGTTCTGTGCACACCATTATCTAAATTACTTAACACTGGAAGGAGTATACTTGTCCATTATGTGTACATATACATACAATTACCTAAACAAAACCAGAAAACCAATAAACTTGAAATCGCTTCAATGGCCAGGCCTGTAATCCCTGTAATAAGGGAGGCTGAGGCAGGTCACTGGATATTCAAGCCTTGAGAATACAGGCTTGTGTATAGATAGGGCTGGGCATGTAGCTCTGTGGGAAGGCCTTGGGTTCAAAATAGTCCTGCAAAAATAGCATTGAACTTTAGTAAGATAATCTTATGTTTCAAAATACAGGAAAGCAAGGAATTGCCTTCTTTCTGAAACCAGAAACACTTGCAGGAACACAACTATCACAACTGAGTATGATCCAGAGAAGCAAAAAGCACCAACAAGGGGAAGATCATGGGTTTATGGTTAAAGTCAAAGTTATCTGCCTAAAAGTAACTATTTTCACACTGCAGTAGGTGAAATAACTGCTTCTCAAAGTTAGCAAACTGCATGATCCCAGGACAAAACTGAACTACTAAATCTTATGACAGAAGACAAAAAATCAGAATCAATACAGTATTCTTATGTAAATCTTATAATCACCATACTCTGCTCACTGTTCTAAGGTAGAAATGATATGAATCACCTAATGTCATGTTTACTGCCATCACAATGTTTTTAAAATTTTATTTAAAAGGAAAAAGAGAAAAAACAAAACAAAACAAACCGGTATAAAGGTACAAGTAATACAGAACTACAAAAAAAAAAAAAAAAAAAAACCAGTAAGATATCACCAGTTAATAGATTACTCATTATTATCATATAGTTGCTCAAGTCACAGTATCAAAGCATACAAAGTGAACATTCAAACAGAAAGACTGCAGTTGTGTTCAATGATCCAACCAAAAACATTAATATGGTCAGCTATTTAACACCCCTAAACACACTTGCTGTTGTATCCTTTAGAGCACTTTTTTTCCCTTCTCTTTTTTACAACAAAATTAACACATTCTGGGTTTTATTACTCCTTAGTTCTTATTACTTTTTTTTTGGAAGATGATAAAGTCAAATATGGCAAAACAAAGCTGTCAGTCAAAACCAAGGATAGACATAGCACATGATGTAAAACAGAGTACAAGGTTATCAACAATGGTTACCATAATGCCTCTTGTTTCCTTAAAAAGAATTATCTATCTCATTAGGTATTATAAAGTTGAACAAAACAGTAGAGAACAAGACCAATAAAACTTAAACATTGTAAACATTACAGGAATTCCAAAGGAGATAATAATCAAACCAGAATGGGCATCTTAGTGAATCTTATTGCCTTCAAAGTAGTTGCCTATACCCTCAAACTTGATACTATCATACAGAATGGAATAGAGTCTAATCAGTCAAAACAAGATAGTGGGAGTATTACAGGACTTCAAAACAAGTTAATAGGAAATCAAAAAAAGTTACTATAATATATCCTCCTAATATTTAATTTTTCCCCTTAATTAAAAAAAACATAAAAAATAACTAAATAATTGTTTTAATGAATAAGGGAGATAGAAGAGGACATAACAACATAACAATACAGGTCAAAGCATGACTGTTTTAGCATGGAAATATTTGAAGCTATAGTATATGAAATTATATTCAAATATTTCAAGGAAAAATACAGACACTATGGTAACTACTATTAAGTCGGGTTATTTGTTGGTGAAGCACTAGGTTGCTGCCATCACAATTAATGAGACAGTAAAACAGAATTATTCAACTTGGTCTGAATTCAAATTTAGAAAACATCAAAATGTGCCACATGCAAAATCCTTAGATAATCCTAAATATGAAACATACCAGACTTGAAAGGATGTATGCTTTACCCTAAGGTGATAGCAAACCTTTTAGAGTTGTCAATGATACAAGCAGCCTGCTTTGGCACTTAAGTTCACCACCACTGTCTCTCATGGTTAAATAAAGACAAGGAACTCTGCTTCTAGGCTCTGATAACAAATACAGCAATTTTGTAGCTTCCCTGTTCCCAGTTCATCGTTCTTTAAGATGGGTAGAAAGAATATTCATTTTATAGGACTATTTTAAGAAAACTGGGTGTGGAGGCACAAGTCTATAATTCCAGCACTCAGGAGGCTGAGGTAGGAGAAACACCACCCACAAGCACTAGGCCAGCCTGGGTTCCAAGTTCAACAATCCCTTTTTGTTCTCATATAAATTAAAATACAAGTTATCAATACAAATTCTAAAATTTGCCTTTCTTAAAAGGTTTAGTACTTTAACTGAATGTTGTCTGAATATAAAAACCAAAGTGTTTCATTCAATTTAATTATGATTTCAGGGACACTAAACTATTACACTATATGGGGTAAAAAAAAAAAATCTTGTTTTTGCAGAAACCTAGATGGTAAATAGAAAAGGAATCATCTCTTTACTTAAATTTTAGCTTTAAAAAGGGTTCAGGGTATCCAATGAATAATAAAGCCTATTTTCTTTTTTCTCTCTCACACACCATTTGAATATATCTAACCTAGTCAAATTCCCACATGATTATTGTCAAAGCCAAAATATTCTCATTTTAAAATTAAAACTGAAAGCAAGATATTTAACTGTCAGGTATGTGTAGTATGAAAATAGTAAAACCACTCACTCACTTCATATAAAGTGGTTGCATGCCAGAAAAACAATGGAAATTACTATATAACAGTTTTAATACTACATTTTAAAACTGTCACTATTTTTAAATGTGTAAATACTGCACATGCAATAACATCTGGTTTATGATACGTTTCTTTTTTAATTGTAATATAAACGTAGTTTCAGTATTTAAGTAGTTATGTCCAATGATGGGCCTGCAAGATTTTACAAGACAAGGTTATTTTTAATTTCACAATTAAATTTTATTTTTAAGCTTGTATTAAAAGGAATCTCAGACCAAATTCCAAATATTGCTATTTTAAAAACAGAGCTACACTTTTTAAAAATGTCAGGTAATGAAGAATCCTACAAAGCAATGTAAGTTCATGTATGAAGAATAACTACACTGGCTCTAACAGATGATGGTGTCAGCATATTTAATTATAAGACTGCCACCAGTCTTTAAGAGTTCAATTTAATGCTGAAGTGCTGGAAATTCTCCTACAATACAGGAATAACAGGGTGTTTCATCTATTGTTTCTTTTTAAAAATTACACGAGACGAGACACGTGATTCCTTATTTTTAATTAAAATATAACTTTCCACAGTAAAGTAGCACCTTAAATATATTGTAAATTAAAGAAGTACTTTCTTCATAATCCGTGCAAAAAGCTCTCTGGTAGGAAAATTTACTACTGGTAGCTAATTACAACTGAAAGAAATAGACACACTGGGTTTTGTGCCGCATATATATATGTACAATTTTGTCACATTGTACATTTGGAGAAAATCCACCCCTCTTCTTCCCTTGCGACCATATCAAGGAGAAACCAACCACATATTCCCAGTTCCAAATTCGCGGTGGCATCATGCAACAGGCTTAATTTTGACCCACATTAGTCTTACACTAAATGAAAAACAATACCTTGTTTGTCTGCACCCTAATTGAAGAGGGGGTGGCAGCGTCTGCGGCTGGAACCAGGCGGACGCACCTGGCCCTCCCCGAGCCGAGGACCCGCCCCCCTCCCAAGTCCCCTGCAGATCCTGGAACACACGCCCCCCCACCACACACACGGCTCAACGCCCAGTCGGTTGCCGGCGTCCGGGCCCCGCCCCCGCCCCCGCCGCCTCCGGGACTCACCGGGTGGAGTTCTGGGTCTTGCCCTGCAGCGCGCTGGCCTCTGGCCCCGGCAGCGCGGGCACTAGCGCGGCCCGGGTGGAGACGGGCCGGGCCCCGCCGGGCCGGGGACAGGCTGCGGGCGGCGTCGGACTGCCGCGGTCGGCTCTTCAGCCATCGCTGCCGGGCGCGGCCTGTGCGCAGCCGCAGTGCGGCCCGGGACGGCGGGGACGGCGAGGACGCGCGCGCGGGCGGACGGCGGCGGCGGGGCTGCGTGAGGGGCGGAGACGCCGGGTAACGGCTTGCGGCGTGGAGCGGCTCTGGGGTCTCCACGGCGGCGAAGCGAGAGGAAGCGGGGTCGCCCTTCCCCCCGGGGCGGGTTGTTTCCGCCTGTGCCTGGCGGGCAGGCGGGCAGGTGAGGACCGGGACCGCCCGGCTGGAGCACCAGGAGCCGACCACGACACAGCTGGCCGTAGAGGCTCGGCAGTGGAACCTGGGTCGGATCCCCTCAGCTGGGCGCTTAGAACCCTCCGGATTTGCCCCACCGAGGCTGTCCAATCCCAGCCCTCGTCATCGCCTGTGAGAGCGGGCGCCAATCAGCGCGGTCTCCATAGGGCTTCCTGCGCACTAGCGCATCCACTCTAGGCCCTCTGCGTCCTGTTCCCCGCCCTCCAGGCGCGCGCCTGTCCGACCCGGTGCACCTTTCAGCTGCCCTCCATGGGCGCGCATCCTCCGTGCCCCGACCCACGCGTCTCTCCACCTACCTTCACGCGAGTTTATCTTTCTCGTCCCCCACCCATGCACCTTCAGCCACCTTGCACACCAGCGCATCGTCTCTCTGGCGCCACACATGCATCTCTCCACCGTGTTCCATGCGAGGTCATCTTCCTCCATCCCCCCTACTCATATCCTCTCCATTCACCGTCTGCATGAGTGCATCCACTATATTCACCCTCACCCATGTGCAACTTCATCTGCCGGGCTCCAGGTATTCACTCTCTTCTTTATCCCCACCAAGCCCCTCCAGTAGCTTCCCTCTTGTATGCACTGTTCCCACCAGCCCAGGCTCTACATACAGTTCCTCTTGCCACATGCTAGCCCACCGCTGAAAGAAACGTGAAATGCAACAAGAAAGCTGAAGACAGCCAGCAAGGTGCCAGTTAGAACCAGGACACTGATGGTCACACACACACACACACACACACACACACACACACACTCATAAGCCTCTTGAGAGTATGACCACCCGCGACAAACGACTCTGTTCCCTTTAGGAGCAGAATTGGCCTTTCTAGGTGAGGCTGGTCTGCAGGCATAGAAGATGGCAACCAAGGCTTCTTGCCCTCTGTGAACAGCTGCCCAACCACTCTTATTGGCTTTAGGTTTCTTGACAGCCTTGGTCAGGCTTATACCTGTCTGCATTTCTGGTCACTTTCTGGCTGTGCATGGGCTTTGAGCTGTGAAATTCTGCCACCTTTCAGATTCCTCATGAGCAGTGAGTCTGCCTGGACTTTCGTGTTCCATACAATTACCTGCCATTGACCTGTGCTTGGGCCCTGGTTCACAGGCTCTCTCTGTGTGCTTGCACTTTAGCAGGTGGAAGGTAAGGGAGAATGATAGTGTGCAAACTTATGAGGGTCCAAGCCTTTTACATTCCATGCACTTCAGATCCTCATTGCATGGATATCATAAGTTCCTTTTTTATAGCCCAAGGTCATGATTAGCTTGGCCACTTTATAAAACTACAGCTGGTACTAAAATTCAAAATATATATATATGCCTTGGTGTCCTATGAAAAGACTATTTTTTCTGGACCTAATCAATAGACCTGCTGTACAGTAGACATTAGCTTGGAAGAAGAATAAAAATAGCTAGTACTTGTGGAACACTTTCAGAACTCTAGGCTAGCACTTTCCATATATTATCAGTTATATTTTCATAAAATTATATAACTTAGATAATATTATACTTCCTGTTTTACAGATGAGATTTAGAGTGGCTGAATGGTTACAGTGTTACTAAATGTGAGATGGAATATCAGAATCCTGCAAGTTTAATTCCACAGCCTGTGGTATAACTAGGATTACATAGAAAGTCATGAATGTGTTTGTCAACTCTGTGTCCGTGGAGAACACAAGGAAGTAAAGAGGTGGAAAAGTCACAAATTCCCCCTGGCTCTAATACTTTGTCCTGCCAGGAGAGAACAGTGGCTTCACGTTGTCCAACAAGGGCAAGTAACACCCTTAGACTGCTGACAACTCACTGAAGGAGTGACTGAGATCTGCTAAAGTCCTTAAGGAAAAGACATTGAGAACCAAGATGTCTTTTAAAAAGTTTACAACTGGGTGTCACACAGGCTGGCTTCCCAAGTGCACCTTTTGTTGCCCTTGTTTAGTAAACAGCCACCTTGCCCCAGTAGCCAGAAGAGGGCTCAGTTGAGCTGCAACCTGAGATGCCCTTCTAGCATTGGTGCTGCCAGGCACCCTGTTGGGCCTTCTTGGGTCCCATCTATAATAACAGGGCTCCCAAGTGGTACCACCAGAATAAAACTTCCTTTCAGGAAGGAAAGGGTCAACCCCCACTACTCAGCAGTTGTGAGTAGAGTGAGTGCTTTAGTACAGTATCAATGCTCTGCAAGGCTGAGGCCAAGAGGATTCCAAATTCTAGGCCAGCCTGAACAGAATAGCCAGACTCTGTCTCAAAATAAAAAGGTCTGGGATGTATAGCTAATTGGAGGAGTGCTTTCCTAGCATGTATGAAGCCCTGTGTTCAGTCTCCCACCTGATAGGGGTGAAAAGCCACGAAGAAGCTTGAGGGTGGGTTGGGGACAATGAAGTTACCCAAATTTATAGTTGAAAATTTAAACCAAGCCCAGAGTGCCTAAGTAAAGGCCAGAGTGCAGTGATGTGTCTGTCCCCTCTGATGAGGAGTCCCTGTGCTAAGAGCCCTCACAGACTTCAAATGGATAGAACTCGTTTTCTCACATTCAGTTTGACTCATTAAGAAGTAAACATGAATTCTCAAGATAATAGTAGATTTTAAGCTTCTTCCAACATTTGAAGTTTGTCCTATGCAAGAGTAAGAGGGGAAATTTTTTGAGGACTACTGATATAGTTGGAAAGGAAAACTCTAGCCTTAAAGATTTGGGAATTAAAAACCTTCTGTTTTCATTTCTATAAAAATGAAAATAAAGTTGGAAGGGTGGTGCACATCTGTAATGCCAGCACTTGGCAGGCTGAGGCAGGAGGATTGCTGCAAGTTCAAGGCCAGCCTGCACTATGTGGCAAGACTTTGTCTCAAAAACAGCAATAGTACTAATAATGCAAATAAAGACCAACCCCACCAGGTTTTGTAAGGTGATATGTAAGCCACAGAAGAAGGGAAATTGCAAGATGGATTGTGAACACCTTAAAGGTGATACCATGTTTATTTCATCTTTTGTTCTAGGACATCGTTCCTGACTCCTGGAAGCTTCATACATGTATTTTAATTCAATGGCTACCTACTCATTTTTTGAGGTTGAGTTTTTGTGGGGTTTTTTTGGTTTTATTTTTGGTACCAGGGTTCAAACTCATGACTGCATGCTTGCAAGGCAGGTACTTATGCCACTGAGCTAAATCTCCTACCTATCCATTTGTTAACCTATACTGTCTTGCTCTCTTATGTCACTAAGCCATGTATTTTTCATGAAACTAAACTGTTTATACTTTCCAGACTGTGTAGCATGTACATTTATGATATACAGTATTCACCATGCCTAATACATGATAGTGTTATATACAGAAAATGTTAAAAAGCCACACAGCACCCAAGCTATCTGCCACAGAAGAGTTCTTGATCAGAACGGAAGGACCTTCAAACCTTGGTCTGAAATTGGGGCATAGCAGATAGATAGTGAGATAGGCAACTCTGGATGATATGACAGAAATCTTTGCCTGCACAAAGCAGAGGAAGTTGAGAGATTCAACAGATGGCATCTCAGAGAGTCCTAGATAGCTGAGCTATCTGGCCATAAACTCAAGTACCACACCCAGCCCTGAAAAGGGAGAAGGAGGAAGTTTCATAATCAATTGGGAAGCCCCGAAGACTACATATGAATTTCAATCTCCCATCCATCCTAACGTCCCCCATGGAGGATGAGTTCAGCTGCTCTGTTGAGGCACTTAAAAGCCTAGGTGGTGGGGAGAGCTCCAAAGTCTGTGCTTTCTAGCCATTTGAAGAAGGTTTCCCCTGTTTAGCATTAAAAACTATAGTGCTGGTGATGTATACTGCTTCAGTAATCTACAATTCCTGAGTTGGATCTCTAGCATTGCCAAAAATAAAAGTAAAGCCAAACAAAACCTGTTAAAGCTATCTTTTAACTCCAAGAAGGATAAACATGTAATGCTCAAGAATCAGTGGAGAAGGAACTCATAGTTGTCTAAATATGGCATATATGTAAAAGTAACAATATAAAAGTAAAATATAGTTTAGATGGTGACAAATTTTTTCTGTGAAAGGCCAGCAGTCATTAATTCTGGTTTTGTAGTCTGTACATTCTTTTGTCAAAACTAGTCCAGTCCTGCTTCAATAATTAAAAAATGAATCCTCGGGTGAGGCTTCATACACTCAAAGCAGAGTATATAAAAGTCAGGTAACACCTTTACAAATCAGAATGTCAAAGCAAAGAGACTGTATTAGTGGCAGTCATGCTTTATATGGAAAGAAAACCTATAGCAAATAATAGGTAAATTAGTAGCAGATCTTTTGAAATCAACAGGAAAATGGTTAAATTAAAGCCTCAATTTTCTGACTTTAAATAAATTTGATTGTTATTGTTTATTCAAGTGAAATATTATTCTGAAGTTAGGAAACTCCCAGGTTTTAAAGGAGAACATAATTAAAATAATGTAGTTAAGCAAACAAAGATTGAAAGTAGGACCAACAATAAGCACAAGATTTGGTGGAAAATGGTGAATGTGTATCATTCAAAATAAAACATACTGAATATAAAATTATAATGGTAACCATTAGAAGAGCAGAACATGTTTCTAAGTTACAATCTAGTGGGTTATCAAGATAAAATTTAAATATTAAATGTAAGTTATTAAATATAAAATAAAATATTCTAGATTGGACTTAATAATGTAATTCTAAAAGTGTTCCTTAAGTCACAAGGAAATATGCATCCTGAACACAAAAGTAAGAAAAATTATGCAAAGCAAATAGCAAGTAATAATTAGTTTGGGTAGTCATACACTTAGCTGGTAAAAAATTTGCATATAAAGCAACAGAACAGAATCATAAAAGATATTAATAAAAGTGAGAAAGTGGATGTGCTGAGACATAGTGCAGTTTTTTAAATGATAATAATGCTGATGAATTAAAAGCTTTGAAGAGATAAGCAGTTTTGCAGAAAAACAAATTCATGGGAAATGGAAATACTGAAATATTCATGATTTTAAACAATGTGTGTATTTTAAAAGTTTCTTTTCCCTTCTCAAAAAATGCAAAAGCAAAACTAAAAAAGCATAAGGTAAATATTTTCACAAATAAACAACTAAAAATCCAAGAAAAATGTAATCATGAGGGTATACAAACACTTCTAGGGAAAAGAAGAAGGGACTGCAATGGCCAACACATAACGTAAGAGCAATAACTTTGATAACAAAAACAAGCAAGAGCCATTAGGAAAGAAAATTTCAGGCCAAATTTACTCATGAACCTATCTGGCAAAATAACAAAATACTTCAAAATGGCAAGTGACAAAATGCAAATTACATCTAAATTGCTAAAATGATTGAATATTGCAAAAGCTATGAACTAAATACTTTCTGCATTATAGCAGGGAATAAATATACATCTGGCAATAAAAACTGAAAAAATCATTGGTTAAATTTTAACACTTTATACAATTTGTAAAAAGCAATTTCAGCAACAGAAGACTATTACTATATAAATGGCCCTCCACAAAGCTATGACTTATGAGTAATGTATGAGAAGGATTTCATTAACAGTTATAAAGGAAAGATGGTTGTTACCACCTTTTTGATTCAATCGTATACTAAACATCCTAAACTAGGAGTTAGATGAAAAGAAAGAAAAAATCCTGAAAACGAGATTTTAGGACAAAATAAAGAGAAAAGAAGTGCATATTCACAACATTTCATATAAGTTTCACAAAAAATGAGCTATTAAATATTTTAAAAGTGTATGGTAAAGTTTTGCTGAAAAATCATACATCTATTAATGAAAGTAGAGAGATAAGCTATATCCCCTGGACCAATATATCTTGATTCTTTTCCCCCCACCCCCTCCTCTCCCTTCAGTCCCTCTTCCTCTCCTTATTTACAAAAGCTTTGTTTCCATTTTTCTCTTCAATTCACCCCCCCATTCACCTTCCAAGCTAAACATTTTACTTCCTCTTTCCCAGTATTTGTTATACATTTTGGTCCTTATTTACTCTTTAAGGATCAAAATATATAACAATTCAATATTTAAATTTGTGTCTAATTTATTTCACTAAATAGTATGGTGTCAAGTGCATCCATTTATCCAGAAATGTCTCAAGTTTATCTTTGTTTATGGCAGAGTAGTACTCCATTGTATTTTTAAAAATAGACATCTTCTGTATCCATTCATCTATTGATGGGCATTGGGGCTGTTTTCAAGACTTAGTTGTTACAGACTTGCTGCTATAAACATGGGTGTGCATTTATTACTGCAGTATGATGTTTTTAATTCTTTTGGGAAGATACCAAGAAGAGAAATAGCTGGGTCAAATGAAACCTCTGATTCTAGGAATTTTGAGAAATATCCACACTGATTTCCACAGTGGTTAATACTCTCACCAACAGAAGACAAGAGTTTCTCTCCACTGCCCCAACAGCATTTGGTGTTGGTTGATATCTTGATAACAACCATTCTTTCTGGAGTGAAATGGAATCAGCATTGTTTTAATTTGCATCTCTCGAATAAAGAGTTATGTTGAATATTGTTTGATATTCAACTGAGACATGTCCATTCATTGCAGATGCCCATTTTTTATTGGGTCTTTAGATTTGGAGAAATCTGGTTTTGTTAGTTCTTTTTATATTCTAGATATTAGTCCTTTGTCTGAGGAACAACTGGAAAAATTTTTCTCACTCTGTGGGTTGTCTTTTCACTCTATTGGTGGTTTCTTTTGCTGTGCAAAGCTTTATAATGAGATGAGATCCCAGCTGTTGCTTCTTTCTAAAATTTTCTGTGTGATCACGGTTTTATTCACAAAGTGTTTGCCTACACCAGTGTCTTCATGGGTTCCATCTATTCTATTATCCAGCTGATACAGTGTTTCTGTTTTAATATTTAGATATTTGATCCATTTCAATTTCAGGTTAGTGCAAGGTGAAGAAATACTCAGTATTTTGTTAGATTATCTTTTCAGAAAACCTATAGATGAACTACAGTCTAGTAAGATAGTTCAAGGAATTTGTGGGTTGATTCTAAAATTTATATAAAATAATAAATGATCAAGAATTGTTTATTTTCAGTAACAACAGCTGACTTGTCCCAGCTCATATCTAAACATACATGGTTTTCATAATTAATATAAAATTGGATTGGTGCATGAACAGACAAACTAGTGAAACACAATAGAGTGTTCTTAACTACCTATATAGATAGGAAAATTTATTCAATGGAATGATGGGATTACAGATTGTTGGCTAAAGAATACATCATATAAGTGAAATAAGCCAGGCACAGAAAGACAATGCTGTATGATTTCATTTATACATGGAATTTGAAATACTTAATTCTCATTAGAACAGAGTAGAAAGATGATTACTAAGGGATGGGGTTTGCAAGGGAAAGATGGAGGAAGGGAAGATGCTAATCAAAAGATACAAAGTCTCAGCTTTTATCTATTGCACCAAATACTGACTGTAGTAAATAATAATGTGTGTTTTCAAATATCTAAAAGAATATATTGAAATACATACATACTCACACAAAGTAAGTACTCATCCAATTGCACTTGCCAGGCAGGTGCTTAAAGTGCTGAGATAATCCCCAGCCCTAAGTTAATTGTTTTTATTGCATTGCTTACAATGTATAGATTGAAATATCACATTGTACTCTATAAATATTATATGTCAGTTGAAAGGAAAACAACTTTTAAAAAGAAAACTCAAGAAGTAGCATATTATTGCAAGACCATACAATAAGAGAAATTTTTTCAAATTAACTTTTCAAATACTCCTAGATCCTAAGACAATATTGGGAAACCTCCTGGTACTTAATGAACTCTCTGAATCTTGGATGAACCCAAAGTACTTTAGCATATCTCTTATAACGCAAATTTCCTATGAAGAAGTGACCATGTTGTTATAAGGTTATTGTGGAGAACAGCTAAACCTGGAGATCATTCACATATGTGGAACACCTAAGGTCAGCAATACCAAAAACTGTTCCAGCTCCAAGAACACAGAGAACTGGAAGCAATCCAGACAGGTTGCTACGTGGAGGGATGCCCCTGACATCAACCTGCTGAATGTATAAATAAATGTGCTACAGTCATTGAGCAGTTCCTTTCACTCATCCAGAGAGAGGACTCCACCTGATCTCAGCTTTCTGTTTCCTGATTCATGTCTTTATTTCTTAATCCTCTATCACCCTTCACTCCAAGAATTTTGAGAGCTGCACTGAATGTGGCATATTGGTGTCTGAACACGGACTTGGAGTATGAAGAAATAGCGGGTAATGGAACACCTCTGAAAGAGTGTGTATGAACAAAAACAGGCTCAAGAGAGCATAGAGGAAAGAGGTATATTGATACTGATTTCATCAGGTTTAAAACACGGGATGATTTGTGTTGTACTCTAAGAAAATAGCTTCCTTACATGTGTATTATAGCAAACCTACAATGTGGCTTACTAAATGTGTTTTTTTATCCATTTTCCCTAACTGATATGTTAAGTGACCTAATTGATATGTTTAGCAATACTCTCCTCTGTAAAGAATTGCAAGAATCTCACCTAATTGATATGTTAACCATTGTTGCCCTCTACAAACTACAGAAATTGTGCTAAAACAAGCTAACAAGGGTTGTTTATCACTGTTTGGCACCTCTATTCTCCACTAAAGAGCTAAAGAAAACTGGGATGGCCCACTAATTTACACTTGTTTGAAGTAACTTGCTTGTGTGCAGAGAGATTTGCGTATGAGTTTAACCCTTTACCTGACCTTGATTCCTTTCCCAGAAAGGCACCTTCTCCCCTTACCTATCTATCTAGGCTAGGCCATAAAGAATTTGGGTTTCTGGTGACCTCTTCCCAACCTGGTAATGATCTGTCATAAAATGAGCCTGCCCCAATTTTAAGAATTGTGTAGCTTTATAGAAATTACCGGGAAATACTATGGCCCAAACCCCAATCGGTGCTTTCCTTTTGTTCTGTATGCATCAAATGAATTAGATATCAGATCTTTGTAAAACTTAAGTTTCAGCTTCTGGTAACTCTTGAAACCTTCGCACCCACTAGTGAAAATGAGCTGTCCTGGGATAATTAACTCTCCACTTTCTTCTCCAAATATTGCTGCAGATGTGCCACTCTGAGCTAATGTCAGTCTGTAGGATGGGAGTAATATGAGAAACACCAGGAACTCCTGAGATTGTCAGAGCTAAGTGGACAACAATACAGTTTCCAGATTCGGGTCAACAAGTTTATGGCTCTGCAGGTTTCTTTGTTTCTCCCCCCGCCCCTTTTCCTCCAGCTTCTTTTTAAAGTCCTCCCTTCAGTCTCTAGCACACAGTCTCCAAATTAGCTCCTGGAGACTCGTCGCCAAGCCTGGAAATAAAGCCTTTGCTACCTAAATTGTCGGTCTCTTGCTTTCTTGGATTTTATACCGGGGCCTGAGTTATAACAATTTGTAAATAGAGAGGCTTGTTGTACTGTTATTTCTGTATTCACTTTTTTCTGTGGACTTGGATTAGGGAGTGTCTTCATGGTCATACACTCATGGAGATGACCATCGAGGATTTTGGCTCAGAGCACTATTTTAAAACTAAGTCCTGAGCAGAAAAAGATTGTGGGGCAACAGCCTTATCCCCACCAGCTTAGGCCCTCTTGCTTTGCTCAATCATATAGGGAAGGAGCTGTGGGGGACAAGAAAGGCCTTTCCCCATTAGAGTGTTTCACTTAGGCTTTGGTTTTATAGCCACCCAAGGTAAAATTGATAACCTTAACTGAACCACAAGCATATAATTCTCCCTTTTCAGTTCAGAGAAATTTTGCTGCATCACAGGTTGAAATTTTCATCTTCCTCCCTTGCAAATGCTGCTAGAGCAGCCCAATGTGAAAAGGCGCCCATGGAGGGATTTCAGCATATCTACCCTGTTACTGAACTCCAAGGCCCCAAATAATACATCTTCATGAAGCTGTGCACTTTAAGACATTAAAAAGAGTTAAAATAAGCTGCCATTATCTATGGCCCCATGAGCCCTTTTACTTTCGGTTTAATAGAGCTCCTATGACTACATGTTATAACCCAAATGATTGGAAAAAAATAGCTAAAGCATATTTGAGTTTGGGAGATTATTTATTGTGGAAGGAAATGTTGTTGATTTGTATACAGATCAGGGTACTTACACAGCCAGCTCAGTGCAGCACAATACCATTAAGGGGCATGGGCCAAGCAGAGAGAGGGCCCTGTGCTCTGGCCCTAGGCAGACTTATTCAGGATCTCAGGCCCTTTGTGTGCCCCACTCAGTTTAGACCCCAGGAGCCATACCAGCCCAAATTGTAGGAGAAAAAAGTTTTGTTTTGTTTTGTTTTTTTTAAAGGCAGCCATAGCTGAGCATTTAGCTCAGTGGCATAAGTGCCTGCCTTGCAAAAGTGGGGTTGTGAGTTTGATCCCACACCATATTAAAAAAAAAAGGCAGCCATGACTGCAGAGGCAATGACTGTAGTGTCCTCTAGGAAGTGGGGCATGAGCAAACCCAGCCTGGGCTGGAGCCCATCCTGACAGTGTGGCAGGCACTGATTCCCTCCTGTCCATCAACACCAAAACATCGGTGCCAAACTGTGAGGCTTAGGGGCAGCAGTCTTCCCCTCAGGACGATAAGCCATTACAACTGTTGCTACCATGGGAGATCACCTGTAGTCCTGAGGCAGCAGGGTGGGAGCTACAGAGTTGGAAGCAGCAGGCAGGAGCCCTGGGTACCCAAATAAAGGATACATGGTTTTAATTTGTTCTTCCCCAAAAGCCGGATTATAGGCTTTTTAATGGGCCTTGCAAGATTTTATATCCATTCCAATTAACCTCTTTTCAGATGGATGTTATGTTTGTGGTGTGATGAGCCATGTCAAAATTGCCACTACAGGCTGGAACTGAGAGGAGCCAACCCACAAGCCAACTAACCAGCCTTTTTAGTGAGCTGTGCAAGCCATGTGGGGCCCAGAAGGAGAAAAGTCAACACCTCTGCTGAGCCTACTGGCACACGGGCTGAGACTCACACTCCCATCCCCCACCCTGGTAAGCAACAATCTGGTTTGGAGGACAAATGGAATTGGTGGCAACTGAAGTACAAGGAGTAGCTGAGTGCTTGTATTGTTTGGTTGACTTTGCAATCCTGGGGCCAGTGGTCTGAGCATCTATAGGGAGGGTAGCAGTGTGCAGTGTAGAAAATATGGGAGATTTCTTTGTATCTTGTTTTTGAAGTCCAATATTGTTCTCACTGTTTTGTTCTGATTGTTTTGCTTTATTCAATATTCTGTTTTGATTGTTTTTATTCTGTTTTGTTTGGGATTGATTTTGCTATATCTGATGGAATGGACAACTATTGTGAAAATAACAAGATGTACTATTGTAGCAACTGTTGTTTTCCTATTGTCCTGGTTTGAAGTTCTGTACCAATTTCACTGCTTGGTTTTGACTGGATTTATTCCATTTTGTTTGTTGGGTTTTATTATCTTTGACATAAAATAAAAAGTAAAATAAAATTGGCACAACACACACTGGCCAAAATGATCTTTTTCTTTTATGTCACATTTTCCAATTTGCAATTCAGTCATGCCATGCCCCCTGTTTCATTGGTCATTTATGTTCTCATTACCAATTGCCAGGGAAATGCAACAATAGAGATTGCTGGCTACTGTCACTGTTGCTCCCTCAGACACCATTCAACAGGCTTCTGCCTCCCATGCTACCTTCCATCAGGATGCTTCTACCTCGCACAGACATTTCCTTTTAACCTAGGAATAGTCTTAACAAATTGTTTAACACTACCTATGGGGGTTAATCTCCAATGCTTACATCTTAATCATCTCCGGCAAGTGAATGTAATTCACATTCCTGAGTTTGGCTATTTACACTGGGTCCACATTTCAGTAGATACTTCCTCAGGATTTATTTTTGCTTCTGCCCACACTGGTGAAGCAGCTAAACATAAAATAGTCATCGCCTTGATGCTGTTAGTGCCCTTGACTGCTGCAGGCACTTAAGACTGACAATGGCCCAACTTATAGAAGTGCTGCCTCCAAAACATTTTGTAAAATATTTCATATTTCCCTTACCATAGGAATTCCTTATAATGCTCAAGGTCAAGGAATTGTTGGATGTGCTCACTACATGCTAAAAGCTCAACTACAAAAAAATCAGAGGAATCCTTCCCTATAAAATTTCACACCTCATAATAGACATTCTTGGCAGTATATACAGTTAACTTTTTAAATCTTACTAGGAATGGAACTAGGTAAAGGAAAAGAAGCTAGGAAGTACCCTTTGGAAAGATCTTCATTTTGGACAATGGTAGGAGCCAGCTATGTGCTAATTTGAGGTTAAGGGTATGCTTGTGTCTTTCCAGAGGACATTGAACAGCCTATCTGGGTACCAGAGCATGCTGTCTGGCTGTATAGTGGACCCAGACCTGGAAAAGGAGTTGGTTCCACCTTTCAAGAAGTTGATTTTCCTGTGGCTTGATGCCTCAGACACTACATCACAACTGATAGGCAAGGGGATGGGTCTAAACCCAACCTGAGGATAATTAAAGAGATTGAGCTGGGATGCCCAGGAGATGGCAACTAAAAATGGGAATCAGAGGTCTGAGTAGGTGATAAGAGTATAGAGAAAACTGAGCTGAAAACTACATGAAAGAAAGGGATATGAAAGTTTCCAGTATTTTTAAGACAAAACAAAATACAGAAAATATATTGTCAGTAAAAGATTTTACTCCTTCCAAATTCTTCTTGTACTCTCTGCTAACTGACCGAAGAAAATCTGACTAGATTATTTATAATTGCAAACTTCCAAAATTGTAAAAGTTATTATGATGCAATTTAGCAAAATACATTTGGGCACACTCATATTGTAAGCAGAATGTCTATATTTTTGTTGCTTTGGTGTATCTGTGAATAACTTTATTTTTTATTTGAATACAACAATTTTTTTCTTTTCTTTTTCTCTTTCACATTTATAGATCATTTGTTTAAAATTTAATTTGGGTTATATTTCCAGCTGGGTTGCTGGCTAGTCATTGTGGTATCAAAATTGGTTTTCTCAGAGGTTATCAGAGATGTGTTAAGGTAACTAAATGGAAACCCTTCAGGCTTGGGGAATTATTGGTCAAGGGTCCCTCTGAAAAATAAAGAAGTGTATGCCTCTAGGTATTTGTCCAGTTATTGTTCATCAGTAGGAAGTACCAATGATCTCCATACCCTTATGGGAGACACACCAATAAAAGTTATTAAAAATATATTATTGGGATATGTTTACATTGGTCATTGTTAAAAGATTAAGTTTTCTAAACAATAGGGTTTTATTTAAAAATGCTGTGGTTTAAAGGATTTCTTGTTGCTATGATGATTGTTATTAATCTCATAGTGTATTAACTGTATTCATGCCTTCAGATGTATAGGCCTTCCAAAATGTTAAACAGGGATTGTTTGAGGTGATAGATGTTTATTTCAGATTTAGATCTCTACCTTTAACAAAAGCTTATGTGATGTATATGCTATTTATGCACCTATATATTTAGAGATGCTAGACATTATACATTCCAGATGATGCCCCAAATTTTTTCAATGACATTCCATTAAAGGTCAACAAGTTAGGGACTTGGGATATAGTTTAGCAGCATAGCACCTGCCTGGAAATCATAAAGTCCTGAGTTCAATTCCTGATACTCAGGGGCACAAAAAGGATAAACAGGTTATATAAAAGCTTTTTATGTACTAGATAAAGATTATTGACTAAAAAGGCTATTTTATGTTAAAATGGAAATTTAGGTGTGTTACAAAAATGTCATCAAAATTGTCATGTTACAATATTATGTATGGCTTTTGATTTCAAGTTTTGTGTGCAAAACTATATAACTGTTGTCTGTTAGCATTCTACAGGAATCCAACTACCAAAACATCCATAACTGATAGGAGCTAATGGCTCTATTTTCAATTTCAAGGTGCTTTAGAATCAAATAAAATTATAATAGTTAAGTTCACTGCTCCAAATATATTGTAAGATCATTAAACTTCTCTTTTGGGTGTTCAACAACTGAGGTTTGGAGACCAAAACCTAGAATGATAGATGGGTTAGGAGGACAGCCAATATTTTGGCTCCAGCCTTGGAAGATCAATAAGAACACAACACATGAGAGAAGTCTTTAGCAATATCCTACAACTCTGGTGAGTTATACAAACTCTGGACTAAGGAGATTGTGGGACCACAGCCCAAACTGATCAACAATGTATAGTGTGCCTAAGGGGAGTCACCAGGAGAGAAAAACCTCCCATGCTTTCACAGAAAGCAACTTGGTCACACAATAACAGTGACTCATCCAGATAGCAGACACTGACAGGAGAACTGAGAGGTGATATAG